AAAAACACACTCACTCGCCAACAGAAGAGTGTGTTTCCGTAGCAACATTGTCATAAGACGGATATCGGTAGAATCGACAATAAAAAAAAAACAACGAACCAGATTGAAAAGGGATAAGAAAAGCAATTGACAAAAAAAAAGGAACGAACTTCTTAATACTGAATCGTTGTGCCTAATGAGTGTGATTTGAGCCAAGGCAACGGAATACTAGACAACTAGGGGAAAATATCAATTGGTAGTACGCTATTATCTATGTTTTTGGCTTTTTATCGCTATTCATTGGTATATCGGTGTGAATTGGTGAAATAAATTGAATATTCGTATCAATCGTGTACATTTCATGTGAATTCAACATAAAAATATAGAAAAATAGAGACCGATGTACGCCAATATCCGCCAATATGCAGATAAACGCTTATTTTTGAAGAATTACCATAAATCAGCGAATTCGTTTAAATCCACGTTTAAGTGCCACGTATTTTTGGTTAACGCTCTGTACTCAACTTATATTGTGTTTAGTTCATGACACTTGATAAAGTTTAAGTTCCGCGTACTTAAACTAGTACTCAATTGCCATAGTACTGGTCGCCAGCTTTAAATGTTCTTTAGAATTGATCTTGATATCATCAACAACAAATAAATGACACTAGAAATGACATGATAAGTCTACTTAAATAAATAAGTACTTAAGTACGCGGTACTTGAGCAATAGCTTAAGTGCGCGTCATCTAAATATATCTACCAATTTCAGTACGAAATATTTGTATATCGGCGAAATATTCGCATATCGGTTAAATATTTGAAAAAGGTCATAGAATCGTTACAAATTATCATTATTTGTTATATTGAAGCTTATCCAGAGGAGAAAAATTTGATCCTAGCCCCTAGATAGACAATCATTTTTCCATTTACAAGCGGCGATAAAGCGTTTGTTCGTTATTCCAAAGTTGAATTGCACATTTAACGTCGATTAGAAATTAAATTACGAACAAATTATCGGCGACTATGTGTGCTTACATGTCATTCGCTTGAAATGGCCAATTATATTCCGGCTGTACGCTTTCATTCTCTCTTTCACTCAACGCCCGTTTTGTCTCAAGTGTTGGGAACAGAAAAACGTGCCGAGACATAGGTAAATCACTATATATTCAATGTAAATGAGAGTTTTATTGAATTAATTCACTATTTGCTGTTGCTTGCCATTTTGAACAATGATGAAGTTGAAAACCCGTCGCTTCGCATTCAAAACAAACATGTTAATGTACTCTTCATTACGAAGAAAACCCCTGAGAAAAAAAACTCAATTGCATCGCCCGAACGTTTTTACCCTAATTTGAATTAGGAAACTTATTGTTCAGCATTTCTGATGAAGGTGTGCATTTTTAATAAATGTAATGTAACGAGCGCAAACGAAATGAGACGAGAATCGAGCCCGAGAATGAGTAGCACTGGAAATGGAATAAATTGCACTTCTTAAAATTGCATTAATTCGTTTGGACAGTCGGCGGTTCGTGGCACAATCTATTATGCATATGAAAATTTATGGGTAAAATCTAAGAAAAGGTGAACAAAACTTATTGGCTATGACATGAATCCCAATGCCATATTTTCGTCGGAGTATTTTACTCGATTTCGGTAAGTGGAGTCGGTAGCAGAGAAGAAGAAGGAGAGAAAAAAACCGCAGCTAATGCTGCAAATGAAATCCGTCGTTGGCATCCAAAAGTATTGTGAAAGCGGCATGTATCGTTGCCGAAGAGCACATAAAATACATCACAGTAATAATTTATCCCGAGCAGACATTCATTTGGAATTCGTCCGCAGGAAGAGAACGTCATCTTCACTTGTACAATTCACTCTTTATCCGCATCGATTCGCTTTCTTTTTCCTTATTTTCTCACCCGCTCTCTCTCTCTTTCTCTCTCTCTCTCGCTCTCACTCGCGCGCTCGTCGTCTTTATCTGTGATGTGGAGCTGGAAATGAGATAAGTCATTTGATGTCAGTTTCTATGTTTGCCCGCAGTGTGTCTATGACTCGTTCGCAAAGATACTCTTCTCGTTCTCTTTTTTTAACTACCCTCTGATTCGGCGAAAAACTCATGTAGATAAAATTTATCGCAGCACCATTATTGTATGGGTGGCTCTCTCTTTCTGTCTACGTGTGTGTGTGTGTGCCTCTCATATGAACACACGTAAATGTTTTAAATACTGTTTATCTTCATGATTCCTAGGACATTACACGTGTGCATATCAAAAGACACGATGGGATTCATTCATTTTTCCGAAGGTTTTATGTCTTCCTTCGAATTCCATTTTCATTCTTCTGCCGCTATTCTCGTATTCAATTTAGCCGGAGCATTGAAAATGGCCATTTATCGTCGGTGTTGTTGTTGTTGCTAGCTCGTTCTTGGTGCACAGATAAAATGTCAAAAATGAATTCGTTTCATGGATAATTTCATACAATAATCATTTTATCATATTTGAGTCGTGTCTTTCTTGAGTCTTTCTCGTTCATTCGTCTATCTCTCGTATGCCCATGATAGCAGTCCACTCGACAACCGTCCCCGAGATGTTTATCAAAAAACGTTCTTTCATGTCGTTTGCATCGATTCGCATAAAAAGCTCAAAGAAAAATATGATCCAGTTTCCTCATTCACATTCTATCTCTTGCTCGTTCGCTCTCTCTCTCTCTCTCTCTCTCTCTCTCTCTCTCTCTCTCTCTTACTTGGTATGTTTATGTTGCACATTAGTTTGAATGTGTACGAAATGCGAGATAACAATTGAGTCAAAACGATTTGATAATTGCGTACATGTTTTCTTATCTGGAGATTCATTGAGTTTTTCGAGTATGACGCAAAAGTTTTTTCATTATTAAAATGGTCTATGTATGTGAGTGTGTGCGTGCGTGCGTCTGGTATTGTTTGACGAGATGCATGTACATTTGAAAATGTCGTCAATTTGTTACGGCCGCCATTGTCAAATTTGCTTACATCGGTTAGATTTGGGCTATGCCGTAGCAGAGCATAAGATATAGCCGATGTGCGAGCGCAAGGGAACAACCGGAACGGCGCACACATGAATACACAATGGCAGTAATGATGGTTATTATTTTTCGACGAATTTGAAATGTGATGATAATTATATTGCACAAGTAGAGAGTATGATGCGGTTCAACTCCGTAGGAAAGATAAATTTTTGGTAGAGCGGAAAAACTTTCATTCCACGCCTGACGTTCAGCCGACGAACGGTTTTTGTCATTTGTCACATTAATAAGCAGGAAATGAAAAGGCAATACAACAGTCGGGCTACGTGCAATGCGATGAAATAAAAACAGACAAAGAGATGTGCCGTTGCGTGCAAAGATGCTGACAAGTTTCGAGAGTAACTCTCTGTCCCATTTTGACGACATAAATATGTGAAAACTTGGTATGGATTAGAATTTTTGGCAATTAATTACCCGATTATGCCTCGAAATACGGCCAAATCCACTTCATAAGTAGGACAAATTGTCCTTCATTCATTTGTACTCGGTCGTACGCATTTTGGCTTTTATGTTATGACCGCACGCACTGTCGCTCTTTGTCATTCCAACCGAGCGTTCAATGAAGCGCTTGATTCGAAATTTATGCTTTCATCTTGTGCAACGACCAATCATAAAATCAACAAAAATATGACGGAATGGCGGCGAATACTGTATTGGGAATATCAAATATTAATGTGCTACTTCTTCGGTTTATGTTTCTCGAGATAACAAAATAATTAATTCCATCGAATGTCAGCAAATAAAAGATGAATGTTTCAGTTTTTTTTTCGGTCGTTGTCATCGCATGTTTTGTCTGAAACTTTGTTGTTATCGAAAAGGAATCAAATAACAATGGTCGTTTGCAATGACCGAAAGACCTCAAGCATAGCATAAACATGATGCGTGTCGTTTGGTTTAATCGTAGATCAAGCGCGTTCAACAGCAGCAAAGCATTTTCTTCATGTTTATTCTCATGTGTTTTTATTCGAGCTACCAACTCGCAAATACATCTGCGTAGTAGCCTTTTGTAGCGTCTTTGTTAGCTTTTGTTCCTATGCTTGGCTTCGCTTTTTTGCCCCATTGTTGCGTTCGTCGACTAATGCAAGAATTTTCATTTTTCATATTTTTTTCTGTGTTTAAGGAGGCATTAGAATAACGAGCAACAATAAAAATTCAACTCAAGAAAAACATATAGATGCGCTGCGTTTATCACTTTTGACGCACACACAAATATCCGATTGAAAAAAAGAGAACAAAAAAAAAACAAACAAACAGCTTTTTGTATGAAAGCTCATGATGCAAAGAGGATCTGGATCGCAATGCGAGAGAAAAAATTGCAAACAATAGAGTAGATCAAGTGGATGTTTTCAGCAAAATTGACGTAGATCCAAGAATGTGGATCAAAAGAAGCACTTTCTTTGACCGTCAAACAGCTTGTGCTCTACTATTGTTGTGCTGCGCATAACCGTATGTCATTAATTGATGCAGAAAAAATGGGAATGTCGAGCATTTTGTGTCCATCAGATTACAATTACTGCGAAGAAAAAAAAATTGAAAACAAACATCGCGCAAGAGTAGCTAAGCTTATCGCCTTTTTTTATCGTTGGAATTTGCATGCGCTCATTGCCCTAAACAAAGTCAACGTTGTGAGATAAAGAAACGGGATTCATTTGCACCACTTATCGTCCTATTCTTTGCGAATGGAATTTTCAGTTTTACAATGTGGAATTTTTTTTCTCCATGCTGTTGTTATTCTCGTGTGATGCAGAGAGTTTTGCACTATTTTCTGGAATGAAAAAAAGGCTTCCATTTGTCAAAAGTACACTTGGCATTGAGCGAGCGCGCGTATGTTTCCATCATCTTTTATTTGCTTTGTATTATTTCGAATGAATATAATTTTGATGTAAATGATTCCGTTTGTATTTATTTGTGGGATTTTCCTCTTCACATTCTTCTTCTTCTCTATTTTTTTTCTCTCGCAGGGTGACTCGCCATTTGGTAAGACAGAAGCTTATATCAAACTGGAGCAACTTGGAGAGGGTTCATACGCAACGGTCTTCAAAGGATACAGCAAGTAAGTTGAACAAACACACACATAAAAACGTTTGAGTTTTTTTTTCTCTGCTTGGCCTTTGTCCATTTCGGTTTTTATCGAAATGGCAGATTTATATGTTTAGACGTCATCATTTCGATTGGTATTTTTTTCTCCATTTTTTTGTCGGAATAAATCATGTAATGGAATGAAATATCGCTACAAAATTCAATACATATGGATATAGTTTGCGGTTTCGATATAATTTGTTGGCTCACACAAATTGAACCAACAACGATTCGTTCGTTCTATTGATTTTCACTCATGACGACGATGGCGGCTGCGGTGGAGTCTTTCCACTACATTTTCTGTTGTTGTTGTTGTTGTATTTTCTCACTTCACCTGCACACTTTAAAAAAAAAAACGGGTAAAATGCCATATACATATTTTATCCTGGTTAGCGTAAATTTCCGTGCATTTTCTTAGCCAAACACTTCAGCCAATGTGTGTCAATGTGCCACATTGCTACATGCGTTGCTGTTGTTGCTGGTGCTGGTGCTGCTGTTACCACACTTTATGCGCATTGCTCTACATAAGAATCAATATTTCAGAGAGCGAAAATAAATCCATTGGTGAACAGACAACGAGGATATGTGTGTGTGTGTGTATGGCTTTGCAAGCCACTTTCAAATTATTGAAAAGAAGACGAGCAGAAAGAACACAACGGAAAACAAGCACCACACACACACACACACACTCTTTCCTTCTCAATTTAAATGGAACAGACTTGATTTATAGTCACTTCTGAAGTGAGAAAAAAAGAACTGCTTCACATCGTTTGGTTGCTCGGCAAATCTGTGAATCTATTTTGCTAAAAGAGCATTTAGCTCTTATAATTCTATTTAGTTTGTACAATGTGCTGTGCATATCAAATGGTATTCGAAAAGAAAATACTGCCGAAAAATCGCTTCACAATCCATTTGCATGCAACGATCGTTCTGCGGGATTATCAATCTCTCGATTTTTCGCAAGTTGTGGGTTATATTTTCCCTTCGTTTGCCACTTTCGTCGACATTTTCGAGCTGTGCAATGCTTATTCGCAACAGTGACGAAAAGCAGAGAGATAGAGTGACATAGAGATAGAGTTAACAGCAAAGAAACCTTTAATCCTTGCCACTTCGTTGCACTCGTGCATGTACCATGCCGGCCATTTGAATAGTCGTAACGTTAAAGTGACATGAAGTGATTTTGCTGCGGAAACTTTATTTTCTTTCTGATTCTATTTATTTGATGGTTGTGTTCGGTTACTTCTTTTTTTTCGTGTCTGTGTTACTACTATTCATGCTCACATTGTTGGTTGCAGGACATGAGTTTAAAGTGGAAAATGTTCAATTGAATAGATGCAAGTTTATTTAAATTGTGTGGAATAGCAACAAAGACATGTTGAAGGAAAAAAAACAGAAGAAGGAGGCAGAGAAAACGGCGATGCTGAAGACTGTTAGAGCTTCAACCCGAATGTAATGTCCACATATTTCCGGTACGAAGTATGAAAATGCAATGATGGGTACTTCGTTCGGTCCATAATGAAACACGATTGTAATTTCCTTGAACGGAAAAGAAATCGCCTTACTCGCATCGCAACGTCTATTTAAATGGAACGAACCCAAGTTAAATGAGATGAAAGAACGAAATAGCACTTATTTTATTTTTCGCCCCCTTTTTCTTCACTCTCGATACACTATTAATGGGAAATTGAATTTTTCCATCCGCCTCTCTCTCTCTCTCTCTCTCTCTCTCTCTCGATTAGCATGCGCGCACGCCATAACATCCAATGATTCTCTTTTCGCTAAATTAAGCACTTGCCGCACTGATTTATGATGAATAGCATAAGCGTTTGTGCATTACCCGCATTATTCAAATTCCATAGCATCGAGTGCGCGCCCGCGACAAAGAGATAGGGAAAAAAAGAGAGAGAAAAGAATTGAGTCATCGTCTCATAATCCATATCATTAACCTTGTTGCATCGACGCCAAGCAGTTTGCCTATATTTTTTTTTCGTCGTTCGTTCCGTTTGTGCCTTCATTTCTTCTGCACTACCTTTATCAAGCGGTTTCCCTTCGAGCGTGTTATTGCAATGTTATTCTTCATTGTTATTTTGTGTGTAGCGAAAAGAAATAGAGGAAAATCACAAATTAAATAACGTGAATTATTTGAGCGTGAAAAAGAAAGTTGACGAACCAAAACAAAGGCGGCGACGGCGACAGCGTCGATGGCAACAAAAAAAAGTAGGCAAAAAGCGAATCTCAGCGAGACACGCATTCATTGGGCTAGCTCGTAGTGTATTTGTCGCTTTTGAACAATTTATCAATATGATATATGGCCACCAATTCGTTTGCGATTTGGCCGTATAAATCGTCTTACGTAGTTTATTGGTTCGGTAACAATGTGAATGTGCGACTGACACACCGTACTCAGCGCTGGCTGGTTGGGTGTTAACACCCGATTCAACACTGGCGCGGTGGTTTATGCAACAAGACACAAAGACAAGTGAAACAGAAAACAACACACAAACACAAACCGAAACGGTACAAAAGTCGTCTCAGCAATGAGTTGCATTTATTGCTCGAATTTATTCGAAAGATCGGTTGCTATTGCGCGGGTGATTAATAACTGAATATCTTGAATGGCGCCAATAAACTTCGTTCTCGTTTCTTTCCTCGCACTATGCGGTGGTGGTGTTCACAAATCCAACGTAACAAGCACGTTTTTTTTTTCACTCTTGCTATTTGTTTTTGCCCGTTTGAAACGAGCCACTGAAGAACTTCAAACCACATAGTTTAACCACAATTTATGAATATGAGAAAGTTCACAATGGGTTTGAAGTTGACTTCTCAAACGCAAATAATGTGAAATAAACGGAGAATGAGCAGAATGAGAGAGAGAGAGAGAGAAAAAGCAGTGACGAATGGAATTCCAGTTGATGCTTGAAATGTACGGTTTTCCACTTTTTTCCAAGTAGAAAATCCAATCACAATAAACATTTGAAAAGTTAGCACATTTTTTATATTTATAATTATTGATATTTGCTTGAAGACGAACGAAAAAAAGTCCGCTCGTCGTTTTTATTGCACTACTCTTTCGAGTGGATAGTTCAATCACTCTAGAATTTGTCGTGATTTTTTTTTTATTGTTGTACTCATCATAACTTTTTTTTCTATGTTTCTTGCACAGTTTGACGAACCAAGTAGTTGCACTCAAGGAGATTAGACTGCAAGAGGAAGAGGGAGCACCATTTACAGCAATCCGTGAAGCATCGCTGTTGAAAGAACTGAAACACTCGAACATTGTAACGCTACATGATATTGTTCATACCCGCGAAACGTTGACATTTGTATTCGAATATGTGGTAAGTTGTGGAAAGAATGCGGGCAAGACACACGGGCAAAGAGTTATTGTTGCGTGATTGCCATTTTGTTTGATAGAATCACCAGTTTCTTCAATTTATCACATTCCGGTATAAACAAAAAAAAAATTCTCTCCCATTTTAGAATACCGATTTATCGCAATACATGGAGCGACATGCGGGTGGTTTGGATCATCGAAATGTTCGGCTATTTTTATTTCAATTGCTGCGCGGTCTATCGTATTGCCATAAACGGCGAGTGCTTCATAGAGATGTTAAGCCACAGAATTTATTAATTAGCGAAATAGGTGAATTAAAACTTGCCGATTTCGGATTGGCAAGAGCCAAAAGTGTTCCCAGTCACACATATTCTCATGAAGTGGTAACGCTATGGTACCGACCACCAGGTAATTATAACAATATCTTCATTTCTCTCTCGCTGTGTGTATGTATGGTCCCTGATCCAAAGCATACTGCTTTCGGCTCGACCAAATGCAATTTTAATTGAGCCGACAAATCGGAGAAAATTAATGGTTGAACGTGACGCATACTATATATATATTTATGCTATTCATTTTGCAGATGTATTGCTCGGCAGTACTGACTATTCGACGTCGCTAGATATGTGGGGCGTAGGCTGTATATTCGTTGAAATGATTACAGGAATGCCAACGTTTCCTGGTATTCGTGACACATACGATCAATTAGACAAAATTTTCAAACTGCTCGGCACACCGACCGAAGATACATGGCGTGGTGTAACGCATCTACCAGGATATAAACCACAAAAATTAGGTAATTACTTTGTTTTGCATTCTCGATTTGAATTTTCCATTTTCATCAAATCGACCCAACGACTAATCGTTTGCTTTCAATTTTTCATTTCGAATGCGTACAGGATTTTATCGTCCACGTAAATTAGGCCATAGTTTTCCACGATTGTATGATATTGTTGAGGGTGAAGCGATTGCTACCTTATTTTTGCAACTGAATCCCGAAGAACGAATGGGTGCTGAAGATGCATTGAATCATCCATATTTTGCACCATTACCACGGAAACTGTTTGAATTACCAGACGGTAATTAGTTCAATTTCAATTTCATTACTCTTACGATTTGAAACCGATTCATTCATTCGAAAACACATTTTAATTTGGGTTTTTTTTTCTCATCTTTCTCTCATCCCAAAACAACAGAAACATCAATATTCACCGTTGAAGGTGTGTATGTGTATCCAGAACCAAATCGACAGAATAAATGAAAATTAATGCACGGTTTGTCATTGGACGGCGTTCGATATTATTGTTAGACAGTCACCGAGATCACGAGTGACAAGCATTTGGCAAACAACAAACACCGAACTAATGCAAACCACTGCAAAAACAACACAACAACAACCGAACCTAGAAACTGATTTGCGGAAAACAGGAACATTTATTATAATTTAAATGAGAAAAAGTGAAAACACCTTTTTAATGATCGTTTAGTTTTATTTTCTATCATTATGAAATTAAAGAAAAAAAAAGCAGAAAAAAAGATTTTATTGGAAAAAAAAAATTTAATTCAAATGAAAAAATACACAAATACACACACAACACAAAATCGAACGAGATGTAAATGATATAAATGGTATAGATAAAAAAAAGAATAATTGTGAAAATCAAAATGCCAATCGACAAACGCCATCAATACAACTAGTTCAGCAACTTATAAACAACAAATGAATCTTTAAAATGAAAGAAGAAGAAGAAGAAGAGGAAAAAAACACATGAAAACAAAAATCACAAAAAAAAGATAATTGAATTATATAAAACTAGCATCAATAACAATTACTAAATATTAATTAAAAAATTTGGACAACACATTTAACTAAATCACAACTAAATGAATATTGTTAAAGATCTACAAGACACGAAAAAGGAAATTGTGAAATAGAACGAATAGGAAAGAAAGAAATAGAAAGAGAGAGAGGGTTCAACTCAAACGAAACCCTTTTTTTTTAAATTGTAACAAATGGAAAAAAAAAACAAACAAAGAAAAAGAAAACAAATTGTGAGAGTGACACTTCAAATGTGCGTAGCGGCTAGCGTTTTGATATTTATGGAGGAGAGGAAATGATAACGAATCAAAGACAGTGCTAAAAATGTGTACTGACAAATGAATGACGTCCACTTTTTATGCAAAAGAGAAATACAAACGAAACACACACACACACACTACAAGACAAAGCAAAAACCGAAAATGATGATATCATTTCCGCTCTTTGATAAAGATTTTCGTCCGAAATTCGGCATTTAATTCATATTTTTTATTAAATCTCTTTTCGTTAGAATAATTTTTCAGTGCACTCGTCCATTGTCGTTGTTAAGTATAAAGATGAAGAGAAAACATTATCTCAATGTTAGATTAGATGAGCCGCGTCACGCCCATTTGAATGTTGCCGACCAAAAAAAAAAAAATTCAATATCGATCGCATTTACACACATTAGGTTGAGATTGAGTATACTTATGGAAGAGTTTAATCAAAACAGCGAAGAAACAAACAGCAAAAACACATAGACGTGCAGATTGAAATGCTTGTAAAGAAATTGAAACCGAATAAAAAACAACACCTAAATTAAGTAAATGAAATGTGTGATTTCAATTTGAAACAAAACAAAATAACAAAAAAATATTATTGTAAATGAGCGAGCGAAAAAGAGAGATTGAGAGTACGAGAGAGAGAAAGAGAGAGAGAGAGAGAGAGAGAGAGAGAGAGAGATAGAGAGAGAGAGAGAGAGAGAGAGAGAGAGAGAAAGAGTGCAGAAAGAAAACAAATTGTAGTTGGGATTGTTTCGTTTTCCATTAAATGAAATGAATTATCGTATTTTGTGCAGTTTAACTGAGACTTTCATCGTAAAAATGGTTTCTCTTATTATAAGAGTCTTATATTTCGTTGTTGAATGGAAATAACACAACTGAATTATATCAAAAAAAGGAAATTCTCTTTATTTCGTGTTTTTGTTTTTTTTTTTGTTCCTCATGACCAAATTATCTATATATCAAGCGATTTGGTTCTATTTTTTCTTTTCATCGGCGATATTTAGTATTAATTTAGTTTTCTTTTTTAAGCATACGGTGGAAATTTCTGGTGGAAGTCGAGACTGTTTATTACTCGTTTTTTTTCGTTGGGAGATAAGTGCCATGCATAAATGTGTTATCCTATCAACAGAGAAAAAAATAGCAAGCAAAACGATTGACTAGTATGATTTGACTAGGTCAAAATGATGATTTATTTTTCTCTTCATTTATTAGACTCAAACACGTTGCTCTGTTTTAGACTATGAAAATGTGTTTACATTGCAATTTTATGCTATTTGTACGTGGTAATTTTCTTTCATCCAAAAGTCATCCGGCTTTTTTTCATGAGTAGTTAACAATAGTAATTTTCTTAACAATAGCTTAACGATTTTAAACATCACGTTGCCAAATCTCAAAGTTTTTCTTTCCACACACACACACACACTGCAATCAAGAAAAATGGAATTTTTTTCTATCAAATAATAAAGTGCAATTCAATGACAAACATTGCTATTCCACTTGATAATACAGTTACTGTGAAGCAGACCAATGTCGTTAGCTAGATCATCGAATATCATCCACGGTGAATCGTATTCGTGTAGGGTCCATTTGTGACCGCCCCATACAAGCGCCAATCTAACGATGTGTTTGCCCAACGTTTAGAACAGCCAAAATGCATTTCCACATTTTCCCCTTAATAACAACTAATCTTCCAATTTATCATAAATTACATTACTCATTCTATTTTCTTCCGCCATTTTCCATTTCTGCTAAACATCATCCGCTCTTGCTTTAAATTACTGTTTTTTGTTACGTTAGAAAAAAAACTGTTTCCTTTTTCTAAAACAAAAATAAAAAAAAAAAAAAAACAACTATACTAATATTTTAATATAAAATGTGATATTTAAGGAGAATGAAACAAAAGAGAAAAGTTGAAAGAATTATCGAAGTATTTTATATGTATAAATCAGAATAAAAATAAACGGGGATAGACATCAACAAAAAAAAAAAAAAAAACAAAATATGAACGTGAACAATGTTTAAAGAAGATAAAAAAAAATATGCATACGAAAAAAGAAACACATAACAACAACAACACAAACAATGAAGGTAACGATGACAACAACCACTTTCCCATTGAACGTATTCTCACAGAATTGATTTTGTTTTTATTTCTCGAATTTCATACAAATCTAAAAATTCTTGCACCAAACAATGTTATTGTACAGCAACAAAAAAAAACATAGCTTAGACAAAAGAAAAACAACTATTCCTTTTAAATAAATTTCAAATGAAAATGATTTGAACAAACAAAAAGACAAAACCATTTTTCATCAACGCATTAAAATGCAGAACTAATTGTTAAACATTTTACGAGAATCGAGATTATCTCATAAACATTTAAATGAACAAAAAAAAAAAACAGAAAAAAAAACAAAAAGATTAACAATCATTTCGATCGGAATGACAGTCGAATGGATAATATGATCAAAGCAGCGAAATATGTAATTTCATTGTGAACAGCATTGGAATATGTTCGATATCGAATGAAAGATAGAAACAACAACAACAACAACAGCAACAAATGAGAAAATGAAGAAGAACGTTCTTTTCCGTTCAGTCTGAACCAAAAGTTATGAAACCTAATGATGATTTTTTTTTCTAGATAAATAGTAGAATGTAGACGGTTTCCTTACCTGTTTTTTATCTAAACGTTTACTTTTTTGCTTGCGATTCATTCAAGACACTTTGAAATTTAAAAAAAAATGAAATTGTAGACAAAATAGAAATAAACAAATATCTAAATAAAAAATCGAATCGAATCGTATTAAAATATTTCTGAGCAGAAAAAAAACAGAAGGAGAAAGAGAAGAAGAAGAAGATTAAACGTTGAGATATTATAAATGTGGAAAATGTGGCGGATATTGAATAGGAGATGAGGCTTCGCAAACAAATTTGTTCATTTGTTATGAAATTCACTACCGACACTTTTCCGTTTCTTTTCTAACGTCGAATTTATAAACATACACACTCACATCAGGCGATCAACCAAAAAGTATAAAAAAAAGAAACGATCTGAAAACTCTCTGCGCCTAATATTTGTGAGACAAACAAAAAAATATGCACATATTTAATGAGGTTTAAATTGTTGAGTGCCACTACCAAAAAAATCGCTCGAAAACACTCGAGTGTGTGATGTTTTTTTCTTTTTACAAAAAAAAAAGTATTTCAAGATCGAAAAATGGAGAAATCAAAAATCAAAGCACCGAATGTGAATAAAATTGTGAATTAGAAAAGATGCGTAACATATTAATCTCTGCTTTGCTAATTTCCGTTTCTGTGTCTCATCATTTGGAAATAAAACAAACCAAAAAACATAGCACGCGAATAGCCATTTTATGAGACCAATTTTCTAATTGAATCACTTTTGATTTTTCCGGATTCGTAGTTTTGATACCATTTTCTAAATGAAAAACAACAATAAAAAAAAACACACAAAAGAAGAGATATCGATATTCACGACACGCCGTCAATTTCCATGTTCATGCATTTTTTTTCTTTCTTTGAACTTACCTACCCTCGAACTTCCACTTGACATTTTGTACCTTGCCATTCAAAAGCGATTTCTTGATTGATTTCTTTTTTTTTTAGAGAAATCATGCTATTTCTACTTGATTTCCACTAATCGACGACTTAAAATAGAATAAGAACAAGACACATTTCTGACATTCTTTTTCGCCGTGAATTTAATTCGCTGAACCGAATGTTTGAGTTGCTACCCTCGACAATAACAATAACAGCAAAATTCCTCAAATCCAACAGCACCATCGAGAGCAGAATTTCAAATGTTTGAAACAGTGTATGTTCAATAGAAAATCTCTATTTTATTGAAAATAACCAAAAAACAATTAAATATTATAGAGCCCATTCACCCGTGCGAACAAAATAGAATACAAATGAATAGAAATAAAGAGAAAAAATGTTGTTAGATGGAAAATGGACTAGACACTTGACAAGTAACACTATAAAATTTTAGAAGGAAACATTTTAGAACAAATAGGAAAATGGTCTCATCAAAAACATCAATGAAGTAGATTACGTCGTTTTGTTAGCTCTGAAAATATTGTGCTAGTAGCTCGATGAATGTCGAACATGTTGACACACTCATTTTTTGTTACTTTTTTCCGTTCACTCAAATTTGGCGACTCAACTTCTTTTGTGCTGTTTCACTTTTGCGAAAGAATTGTTTAAGTTCGAAATTTTTGGAATTTCTTCCACTTTTTTCCATACACAAATCAATAGCCTCAAGCACTTTTGCCCACTCTATCCATTGAATGAAGTAACACAATTTCAATCCTCCAAATATAGCGAATTAATCATGTAGCGGATCACAATTTATTTAAATAAAATCGATAGAGAAAAAAATTAACTAGAACTGTCCCACATTTCATACCATTCACGCACATACTTCTAGTTTTCCTCCTTTCGTTGTCTTCACAGCAGAATCTAACAACCATTCAAAATCATCGACAATAACTAGTGGTGCGTCTAGATCAGCTTGAATTTGGTTATTGTGGATGGTTTTTAGTTGTTGGTGATTTCTGTTTCTTAACTCATTCGATGCACTTTATGCTCTTTTATACACATTAAAATTTATTACCAGAAGATATTTGCTCACTGAATTTGGTAAAGGTTCCATTGGAATAGGACACACACACACACACACCATGTCAACATCATTGGCTGTGATCCATCTCCAGACCATGGAGGCTCCAGTGAACATTTAGGCTTAACAAGTTTAAGCTAACTTCTTCTGAATGCACTTGGATTTTCTGTTTGAGGGCATTGCAACATCGATTCCATTTTCGGTTTGAATGATGCAAAGTTTCATCAAACAATGGCAAAAGAAAAATGAACATATTTTTTAAATGAAATGCAACCACACAAGAAAAAAAAACACTAAAAATTTGTTTAAATGCACGACCCATCCCGAATATTTCGTCCATAGTTTTTAAGAGCACAATCATATTGTTTGCTACATTTGACATGGAACTATTGAACACACAAAACATAAAATATACACACGCGCTCGCCAAGCAAAGCAAATGAACTAAAAGAAACACACACACGAAATGATTGAATGAATGTTTATATTAATTTGCGTCAATCTAATTTTTAGTATTCATCGCACGTTTTTACACCTTCTTTACTCGATCTTTTTTTTTAATATAATTAATTGCTTGTAAACAAAGGGGATATAAAACAAAAGAGCGCTCTTCGACGAAAGCTAGAAGCAACAAATACGAATTGCTATCCGAATTTTGTGATTTAATTGAAAAGAGGACTCAAGATAAGAGAAAACATGTATAATTCATTGATGAGAATATTTTACTTTGCATAGAGTGTGGAGTGGCGTGGTGAGCAAAGGATGGCTGAGCGCAATCGAATCAATCATTGCTAATTTTACTCAGAATTCATAGAAAAACCAATGTGCTAGACACGCATGCCATTTCAACACAAATTCTAACAAATGATCAACACACATAAGCCAAAACAAAAACAAAAAAAAAACAACACGAAGGTGAATGTATCGCGTTTTTAAACTGTTTTCAACTGTTTTCATTATGTACATATGGATTATATTTTAAACGATTGAAATATATACACGCAACACACACACCCACACTCACACAAAGAGCGATCACAGAACGATACAAACGAGACAGATGAACGCGTGTTTGCACGGCAAATCATCGCGATGAAACGATGAGATGAAAATCAAAGAAAACAAACAACAAGATAATATTAAATAGTTCAATAAGGAAATTGATTTATCGAAAAATTACAAATGAAAATCTGAATTAAAAAACAAATAAATGTGTCTTTGAGAAAAGGAAAACGAATAAAAAAAATTTAAACTCAAATGCGGTTTCATTTCGAGATTCTTTTTTTGTTCTGAATATTTCACATTTTTCAGGTTTTTTCTTCAGTTATTTAGGTAGTATTCATGGCATTATGGTAAAATATCGCACATTTTTATCCTTTTCTAGCTGGATATTTCAATTTTCTTCTTGAGAACAATGATTGCATGTGTATTATTTGTTGAAACTCTTCAAAATTGGATGAATGTTATCGAATGCATCGTAGATTTCTTGACGTACTTTGGCACCGGTAAGTACGACTTTGCCCGACACAAAAATCAGCAGCACAATTCTTGGTTTGACCATACGATAAATAAGGCCCGGGAAAATTTCTGAATCATAATCACAGAACTTATCGTTTGTTAGAACTAAACCCTCTAATCGAATTTGAAATTTAACGTCGCAACTGCCGACCATATTTTGTATTTTAAAATCTGAAAATGTCGCTGCAAAATCGAGTTTTTGTATAATTCGAGCATATTTACGGGCGGCCAAACGTGAATCTTCTTCATTTTTTGCACCTGTACACACCATGTTCACCGATGAGAAGATCAAGGCAGTTGTTTATTTACAGCAGGGTTTTTTTAGCTGAGAAAATCCAATTTGAGACATTTCTCATAATTAAATCAGCCAAAATCTTGCTATAGTATGAGCCTGGACCCCTTTTCGAAATATCACCTACAAACGAACGGGAACGAACGAGTGCTCGTTGACCAAGACAAATGTATATGGACACATGGAATTTGATGCGTCGAATCGAAATCGAAATTTTAATAATTTTGAAAACAAAAACCAAAATTCTAGGATTGAGCATTAATTTGAACTGATACTCAAAGTAAATGAACTACTTGAACGCAATCTGATAAATAATTCCACTAGTGTAGTTTGCTTTCAATAGAATTGATAATGGAAAAACAACAAACTAGCAAAACAACAAGAGCAATGTACTAACACACAATTGTAAGACAGACAATTATCTCAATAAATTATCATTATTATTATTGTCAAAAAATTACAAATCGAGTCAAAGTGGCATAGTCCACATATGGAAAATGATCGTGATATTTTGGGGTTGGTGTTGAACTCTTCTTGCTAATATGATAATTTTCAACTGATTAAAGTTTTCTTTAAAAAGGTCTCGCTAAGTGAATTTAAAGTTAGTTCACATCTTAGCATCACGAAACACGTAACGTTTTCTTTAATTCGTATTTCATAGTCATAATCTTTTAAACTTTCGTTCTATGGATATCCTTTCCACTTTGTTTATATCTCATTTTCATCCAAAATGTTGTTTATAATTTTTATTTCAATTTTGTTACTTGAAAACACACTTTCATTGCCTTTGCAACAAGAAAAAATGGGATAATTGAAATTTCGTCCAAAAAAATGAAAAAACCGTCCAAAATTTTTATAAAATCTTCCAAAAAATATTACAAAAATGAAAAAAAAATTGGTCGATTTCCTCATTTTTTTGGCCGGTTTTGAAAATAAAATTATGAAAACTTCCAAATCTGTTATCGTCTCCAACTCTGAAATTTGAATTTTGTCCAAAATTATTCCTCAATTTTTCGAAAAATGAATTTGGATTCATGACAAAAGCCTACCTTTTCTTCACATGATTCTCTTAGAAACAAATGGTAAGTAGAAAGAATTGTATGGTTTTGGATGGTGCAACTGCCATGCAGCTATTTTACAGCACAGAGTCATCATCGTTCGATGAATACTCAGCTTGTTTCCATCAGCGCGTGTATCAGCTAAATTTTGCTGAGAATTTAACCGAATCTACATGCCCTTGTCCATATTTCATGCAAAATCCAATTTGCAAGCACACCCTCGCAATCGCTTTACTCAAGCGTGTAGTTTTGTACATGCCCGAGTCTAACCCCTTAGTTCTCGGACAGAAGCCAAAACGTGGCCAAAAATCAAACGCCAAATCGGCCTTGCACAAGCCAAAAAATTGATTATTATAAACTCAAAGCACTCTACAATCAACATGGATCTGCTGGAACTGACGAAAAACTTTTCGTCAATTACCGGTATAAATTGAATGATGACTTTTGCAGTCCTAGAGTCACAAACTAAACGTGTAATTACCTAACGCTTCACATAGCCTTTGTCCTTTCGGAAACGTTTACCAAAGGTTATTCTGGACTGTTTATCATCTGACCACTTACCAAGCATTTCCATCTTGATTGTATGATATATGTTTTTATGTTATTCCAAAGATATACTTTTTAACTTCATTCAGCCAGAGCTTGGCTGTGTTAAATAACAAAATAAATAGATATATACAATAAAACAGTAGTAAACAGTAAGAAAATATTCGCTTTTTTGCATTTTTGTCCTACATTTAGTAGATTAATCAAATTTTAAAATAAAATCAAGACGATTCAATAACAAAAGTTCTTTTTGATATTTAGAAGAAAAATTGGCCGAAACAAAAAGTGAGATCATCAGCGAACGTACAAAAAGAGGTAATAGAGCAGTATAATTTACATACAAAATGTAAAACCACTTTTATGTAAATAAAATAACATTTGAATGTTAACATAGGTACTGGTTCTCACGTTGGTGCCGTTGCCGCTGGAGGTGCAGTTGTGGGTGGATTTCTTGGTGGAGCATCTGCCATTTCGGGTGTAGGTCAAGCATCGGTTCGGACATAGAAATATGTTTACCTAGATGTTCTATACTGCATAAATATGCCGAGCATAGACGCGTACGGACGACCGTGCGACGAACGTATCACCAGAGCCATCGTTGTTTGCTGTGTATTGTATTCATACGGGCCGACCGTGCATTGCGAGACGCACGCGTTAGTGTGTGTATGAATACACAGCAAACAACGATGGCTCTGGTGATACGTTCGTCGCACGGTCGTCCGTACGCATCTATGCTCAGCATATTTATCTTGCATAGAAATATGCCCGAACCGATGCTTGGTGTAGGTTTGGGTGCTGCGATAGGATCAACAATTGGGACTGCTCTAGCTCCTGGACTCGGTACTGTTGCAGGCGGTACTCTGGGCAGTATCATTGCAGGTTAGGTGGATCGATTTTTCAAATTCGTACATAATCAAAAACGATTAGTGCGCGTTTGATTTAGCATCATAAAAGAAGAAGCTTTTGTCCTGGGGCATATGTTGAAAAGTCAACTGCTCACTAAATTTTCATCTGATTCATTTCTGGATGACATTTTCACATTTTTGGATGAAATATCTCAAAGAATAACACCTTTTGATGCATTTAAACTGGTATATTTGGATTTATCGCAAAAAATTACCTTAGAAACTTCGATTTGAAGCCAATCCAACGCTATTTTGTCGCTTTTGTAGGTCAAAATTCAAAATTATCCATTTTTCACTACTTTTGCAAATACTCACCTTGGGATACTCAAAAATTTCTGAATGCTTGGCTGAAAACGACTTAATTCAGCTATTTTAACTTAATTTTTGACATGAAATCGATCTCCGGTGTCTTTTTATTGTAGGTGCAATCACTGTTACTGGTGGTGCTGTAGCAGGAGCCGCTGTGGGTGCAGCTACTGGAGCAGCTGCGGCTGGAGTAGAATGTTCAATTGAAGCATGTTAACTTTCGGAAATATTTTATGATCACAGATGAAAAAAAAACTTTGAATCAAACAAAGAAATACGTCTAAAATATGACGTTAGCAGGTTTCCTTCCAATATTCCCATTATAATGACAGGACATTTTTTCGTCTTTGATATATATTATGTAAATTTTAAATAGAAATTGTATAGCTGACCTGAGAATAAAAATTACGTTTTTAAACGTAAATTCGAGAATTGACTTTGATGTACAATTTCAATTTGATATCAAAATACTCTAACGAAAATAAAAATTCTCTTTATATTTCAATAGAAAACCTTGAGAAAGATTTTTTTAATAAACATGAAACGGCATTTTGCTCAATATCATGAAACAAATTGAATACTCACATTTCAACGGCTGTTAAGTTCCTTTGAATGTACTTTCAGTATTTCGTATAAGAAACAGTTTGGTTGAAACCGTATGATTATATGAGTACCGATTTAATATCACCGCCATCTATTGGAAATAGATTTAAACAAAGAGCTACAAATGTTGCGAAGAAGGACAATTCATAAGAATGTGGAGAACGTTCATGTCCGTCGACCGGATTCTTACAGAATTTTAAAATATCTAATCTAATTCATCTACTTTAAGTTCTAAAATGAGAAGCAATTGAAAAAAAAACATATTAAATATTCTGAACTTTTCAGTATCACCGTTAAGAAGTTGCATACAAAATTGAACAGGGAGCAGGACATCATGTGTTATTCATTCACCGCCTAAATTCAAGCAGGCTAAAAATTATACGAAATTTGTTATATGTATGATTATTTTCTTAAGCATAATCGACATCTATCTTCTCAAACAAGACTCAACACGATACAAACTTTTGGTTACAATTGAAGTCATAGACATCAGCTGAATATTGGCTGCTTGTAAGATTTAAATTGTAGTTCTGTGAAGCCGCCATTTCAATTGTTCAAATATTAAATGATGACTTTGAGCCAACGTATTTTTACACTGACAAATTATTAATATTTTCAGAACATTTATTTTGTTAACAACTCTATCAATAGGAAATTGAGATTCATTCGAACATTAATTACTATCGAGAATGAAAACCAAAATTATAAAAAAAAAATCAGCCTTTGCTCAAATTAAAACTTCGTTTGATTCAAATCGAAAATTCCATTCAACATCCAGGAAGTGTCTGGTTAAAGTTCAAAACCAGAAGAACGAAGAAATTAAATCTTCAATTAAAATCCCATTTAGGAATGCGTTTGATCATTGATCACAGAGGTTTGTGATTCAGGATGTGATTGAAATGGTTGGTGACATCGTTGTTTCATTGCATTCCATGCAATTCGATTTTCATTCGGTTGCACCGT